GAAGGCGAGGAATTTCTTGACCAGCTGACTGAATATCAGCTTCTCAAGAAGGACTCTCCTCTGTGGAGTTAGTTGTGTTGGGAAATATCAGAGTATATATGAAGTTGTTTCATGCTTTGAATTATGTAAGACGTTTGAGATCTGTGTTATCTATACTGTATAGGTTGTCATATGTTTTACGAAAGTTGTATGATTGTAAATAAACTGCCCCTCTGAACTTTTGGCAATACATAAGTTGGAGATACCAAGCGCGAGAAAATTCGCAGTGACTTTCCAGTCAGGTCTCAAACCCGTTTGACACGGTTCAGACATTGCATTTATACTTTCTGATTAGGTGACTGGTGGACTCCATCCCGTATTTGTATCGTGCTTGTGCAGTCCATTACTTGTTTGTAATACAACATGGTACGGGCCTTCAGCTAAAGATTAAGGCCTATATGTTTATTCCGAAGTACTGTGTAAACTGCTGTGGTTTCCATCAGAGACCAGGTGAGGCGTTGGCCCTAGTGCTTAGCGTCGTTGATGCAACATTCATGACCTCTCGTCAGGTTATTGAATCACACGTCAGTGTGGTATGTACAGGCAGGCACATCTGAGATGCGCGGTGAACGAAGTGACAACTGTAACAGGGTTTTCTGCTATGTTCGTTGGTTTTACCCAGCTAATCAACATTCCACTCTTCCCCCTTACTCATCCATCAACGCCCCCTGGTGTCTGCGATAGGCCTGCTTGGGCAGTACATTGTTACGTCTTCGGTCTTTCGTCACTTGGCTTGTTACAGAGTAAGAAAGCAAAAAGAAAATTCTGTTCGCTCTAGATTACGAGATATAATTTTTACATAAAACTTGTTTCGTGTTCTTGTGTTTGTGAATTGTTAATGTTTAACACATTGACATTCAGTGCTTGGAAGGCTGCAGAACGTCACTCGGTCATGTTGGCTGCTTTCACAGGTGTGAAATCCGAATGAACGGCCAAGTTGGATAACACTCATTGGCTGTAGGCCTACATACTAGGGTGTTGGTGATAATTTTAGGACGTTTATTTCAAAATCACGGAAAGAAATTGATTTCTGCCTGATAGTGAGTGAGCAAAACCAAGTAATATATCCATTAACACTCCGTAGAGGTGAATCGTTGAGAAGTTGCGAGTCACTGAGCTACTCAAGAATTTCCCAATATTTTATGAATCCTGAGTTTCGTTTGCCTTGTTCACAAGAGCCCTCCACTGACATCTGTCCGAAGCCAGACCAATCAAGTCTGTACCACCCCAAATTCATTTTAATATTCTCCCACCTACGTTCAGGTCTTCCTAGTGGTAGTCTTCCTTCATGTTTCCTACCAAAACCCTATATGCATTCCTCTTTTTTTTCCCCCACGAATGTATCAACTTGTTAAATATTAAAAGTACTGTTGTTTGAAATAAGGGTGTTTATAAGACGAAAAATGTATACCTATTGCTGGTTAATAATGGAATTAATTTTCAGTGAAGCAGTTACTCTGCCACTATGTGCTTATACTGTCAGTGACAATTTGGATTACTTCAGACAGGAAGTGTCCCTTACGTGCTGCTTAAATTGGTCATTTCGTTCATCTTGCGGCCGTCTTAATTGTATGTAATCATGCGCCCTGCTGCTTGAAAGAGGAAGTGCTCGTAATTCGGCAGTACAGTAGCAGTGGCAGGAACAGGACGAGGAGGGGGGATGCTTGATAAGACTGATACTCATCCATACGAGTACTGGGGAACCAGGACCTATGCTTCTCCGTTATTACAAACGCTTAAAATAATTTTAGCAAACTATAAGAAATGTCTGAATATGTAAGATTTGAGGTTTTCACGGCGGTGGCTATGAAAAAAGTAGTCTTCTGGGATGTGGCGCAGTGTAGAAGTTGTGTTAACCGACGTTTCGGAGGAACGAATCGCCTCCATCTTCAGGGTAGAAGACAAGAAGAAATCCACGAGCGAACCAGCGTGAGCAGTCTGTTGCACCTGCTTACGCTGGTTCGCTCACGGATTTTTTCTTGTCTTCCACCCTGAAGATGGAGGCGATACGTTCCTCCGAAACGTCTTTTAATACAACTTCTACACGACGCCACATCCCAGAAGACTGCTTTCTTCACTTCACTCTTTGTTGACATGAATTATTATGACTCGCTGAATAGCTTGGTTAAGAGGTAACGTTAGATTTGTGTTTAGAAGGTACTTGGTTCGAATCTCAGCCGCAGCAACGGCTCTCCTGAGTCCCGCCAGCAAATGCTGGGTTAGTACTCCCTTTCGTTCCAAACCCTTTCCATTTGATCGTACCATCCGACGCTGTACTGTAGTCTCAATACTGATGTCATCGTTAAATAACCCACGAATATGTGAGAATCAACGTAAGGAAAAGTCCTGTGTTAACTGAACCCAAGGCGTAGACGTTCTCCGCGTTGCAGTGCAGTAAAGGCACGTCTTAATTTTGCCATTTAATGAATGCAAGACCACTCTCTGCAGAAGGGAGAAGTTTATGGGTCATTATATGGATTCTGTTGACCAGATTGTTAAGCGGCCTTCTGTTACAGCAGTTCATTTAGTTGCTAGCCTACTTCGGTTACTGGTTTATGTGTCAGTAAACAAGGCGGTGTATTATGAGGACAGTTTGATTTCTTTGTTTTCCTATTGACTTTCACCTTTCTTCTCTGAAAAGTACTTCAAACTGGTTACACAGTTTTTAATTTCTCAAGCTTAATAAAACAGTGGAGGGCTCTTGTGAACACGGTAATGAACCTTCGGGTTCCATAAAATGTTCGGAATTTCTTGAGTGGCTACGTGACTGACGATTTCTCGAGAAGGACTCAACTCCATTAAGTTAGTTAAGCGTTATGAAATGGTCATGCTAATATTATGTTGGACGTCGCCCATTATTGTACCCAGTGTTTCATGAATTAGTTTAAAACATTTTGTATTGCTTTCTTTTTTGTCTTAATATCCTGAATACACCTTTTACTCTTCGTCAGAGCCCTCGTTTGAGGCTTTCCATTGCGATTTGATAGGGAAATGTTCCTTATCAAAGACCGCAGCTTTGATGCCGAAGTCTTATACATATGTGCAGTCGGCCAGAGTGTTGACCGGGAGGGTAAGACATCTGTATGACTTCTCCTCGATGAAACGTCAGAATATTGAGAAGTAAATTTTCCTTGATACCAGACAAACACTATTGTTGGCGATTCGTTGCCCAATACAGTATGTGTTTTACCTAATATAGGCCTGAATGACGTTTTCTTCTCGGGAGACTATATTGATTGAGCCGGGCTAATAAGAACTTGAGGAACTTGCTCTTTACGCGGCCGGTTGCAGCAACTTTCACGTCATACCCCAGTAGTTGTGCACAATAGGAGCAGATATGTGATTGTGCAGCAAGGGAAACGCAAACTGCATCGGTCTACAACATCCATTGCCGGTCTGAGTGTTTTCACCTTCATGATGCTCTAATTGCAGTATACCAGGGATCATCCAGTTGTGGTCAGCGATCCACATCCCACCCGCGACACAGTTGGCACTTATGCGGGTGGTCGAGAAGTACCAGCTTTTATGGAACCAGAGGGTTCATCATCTTGTTCACTAATGCCCGTCAGTGGACCTTGCCCTGAGTCAGACAAAACCAGTCCCCACCATCACACCATATTTCTGTAAGATGCTACTGAATATTCTCAAGTTGTCTCTTATCCTGAAGTTTTCAGAGCATATTTCTTCACAGCCCTGCACACCATTCCTCTCGTCCACCCCACCGCCTATCTCATCTTTGATTTAATCGTTATGGCAGAGCGAATGGCGATCACAATGGCCCCGTGAGGTTTTATCCCACAGGATGGAATTCCCTCGAGATATGCAGGCCGTATATTGTGTCAGCGTTCTACTCACCATGTTCCTCCAGGTTTGTATCAACCTACAAGATTAACACGGTGTCACAACTTAAATAAAATGTGAATACTGTCACGTGTATGGGGGTACGCGCGACGAAAATGACGAATTCTAGTTCCAGTTATTGCATTTATCATCACTTTCGTTACACTCTCTCTTGATGACATTTAAATACAGCGTTCCTACCGATAACTCAGAACTCAAAACTCTGTCACTCACTCACTCACTCACTCACTCACTCTGTTCACCGTATTGCTGGAATCTCGTTATATGGCCGCGGCATGGACCACACACACAAACCAGTCTCTCTATTGTTGAGGTTTGTATACCGAGCCGTTGCATAGCAACGGTCGCGGCGTGGACCCCCATAGAAAACCAGTCATGTGATAACTATCTTGCCAGTCTATTGGCGCACTGATAACTCAGAACTCAAAACTCTTGTCGCTCACCCACTCTGTCTTGGTTATTCCTGGAATCTCGTTATAAACAGCCGGGGCATGGACCACACACAAAACAGTCTCTATACTGTTGAGGTTTGTATACCGAGCCGTTGCATAGCAACGGTCGCAGCGTGGCAGTCATGTGATAGCTATCTTGCCAGTCCATTGGCGGGCTGACTGTTGTTTATCACCGAGTTATAAACATTAGTCCTATTGTTGCGTGCACGTATCGCCAGTCCATTGGCTCGCTGACTGTTGCCTAGCACCGAGTTATAAACATTAGTCCTATTATTGCGTGCACGTATCGCAGGGTGTGTATCGAGCCGTTGTCTGGCAATGCGCTGACATGTAGCAATACCAACAGAATAGTTATACAGAGCTATGTACACACTCTTTGTGTGTGGGATTTTTTATAGAAAAAATCTGGAACGCCAGGTTTTGAATTGAAGGACGATGAGCGATTCCAGAATTAATCCACCCATTATTTTTGTGGTGAACATAATTTTGTATTCCCACGAATTTGAATTTGTATATATCTCCAGATGATTATTGCCTTTATTGAATTTCCATCTTGCCAATGATTTTTATATTGTTACAAGTTTATATACTTAACATACGGAATTATAGATACATAAATTAATTAATACTTTGTCTTCTTTTTTGCAGAACAAGACCAGCCAACATCCGACGATACAGTTCCTAGGAAATGAAGGGGTGAGTGCAGTGCTATTTTCACTTGTAAATTTTTATCGTGTAATATCCACCGAAGATATAAAATCTGTGCTGCCTGAAAAACAAAGGAGGATTCTTCGATCGTGTATTTACCTCATTTTTTGGTCACACTTATAGCCATTCGACGGTAGAAACGAAATCCTTTGATTTTGTGTCTTAACGGTTCAGTAGGTAGTATACTTATTGCGGATGCGACTAGTATGGAACCGTGAGTTCTCTTTAGCCCTCGGCCTAGCGGCCTCCATAGTCTAGGAGTAACGTTCCCACCTCATGACTCGTAGTACGCGGGTTCAAATACCCGGCGGAGGTCGTCGAATTTTTAAGGGCGGAAAAATTCAGGGAACAAGTCCTCCGGGAGGAACTTTAAGCCGTGGGTCCCGTGTCGTAGCTTTACGGCATGTAAAAGAACCTCATATCTCCAAAGGAGGTCACTGAGCCAAATTAACGGACGTTTTCCGTCCAACAGCAGTCACTAATACCTCCGGTACATGGGGGAAGCATTATAGATACCTCTCAGCTAGTAGAACCGGTCTCGCTGGCTGGGCGGGACTGATGGTATGCACCAGTACCGGTAGGATATGGAGACTGGTAGAAATCATAGAGGGAAACACAATGGACCAATACAGGTCTAAGTGCATGGGGAAACCCACCCTCTCCAATAACTAACTAACTCATTAACTAGCCCTCGGCCTAATTTCACAGATGAGAGAAACTAAGAACATTAACATTTACAAATTACTCAAATTCCAGGCATAAGATTAATCCCTACATATTGTGATAACCAATCCTTATGGTCCAAATTCGTTTTTCTCGTCCATAAAATTTAAAGCGTAAGCAATAAGAATGGGATATTGGTTGTCGTATTTCGTTAAGGGATCGCGGGACCAGATGCTGTACTGAAGGGTACAGCCGGCCCTGTACGCGACTCTGTGTTCAGTAATAATTCATACACGCCTGTATAGTGTAGGGATGTACGGAAAAGCAGAGTGACGGCCAATAAGAAACTTCTGAGTTTAGGTCCTGTTATCTGGAATACTGTTCTTGTATGAATTGGTCGTTTTATTCATAGTGTTGCTTTGAGCCCGTCCCTGCCGTAACAGTACATGAGGTGATCAGTCTTGTAATTCAGCTGAAGGCTCCTTTCCCACGAGCGTTTGTGGAATTCTGCTTTTTATGAGCGCCTCTGGGCGAGCCATTGATCGGTCTTGGGTCTGTGTGGAAACAGGTACATTAAAGTCAGTGGTTCCCTAAGACGCGCTACAAACGCTCGTGCAAAAGGAGCCTTCAGCGGGTAGTTCCATCCGGAACTGACTGACGTAGATAAAAGGTAAAGTTGTCCCTGTGCTTAACTAATTAAGCACTACACCGTGAAGGCGTATGCGAAAGTATAAATCCACATTTTCTTGACCTCGGCACTAGTTTGAGGTGGGTGGTCAGCTTCACGCCCCGTCCGCTCTACCCCCCAGTTAAAAAGCCCACGGTACGCTTTGTCTAGGAGGCTGGTTGGGCCCCAGAGCCGGTCTGGACGACGTGGGGAATAGAAAATTTTTTATCCTACCGGGACTCGAAATCCAGTCCTTAGGCAGTCACTATACCGACTACGCTATCCCAAAACCCGAGTAATATTACTGGGTGTAATATACCACAGTCAGTAATTGATAGATTGATGGTGTTTGCGAACAGGGTACCAAGGAGAAGATTTTCAACCCAAGGGGAAAAAATTACAAGAAGCTGAAGAAAATTACAAAATGAGGAGCTTCATAATTTGTAGTCTCCACACATTATGAGAGTGATGAAGTGGACTGGCCATGCAGCACCCGTGACAGAGACGAGTAATGCGTACGAAGTTTTAGTGGAAACCGTTTGAAAAACGTGTGTGTAGACGGGAAGATACAATGGTAATCCCTCAGCTAGTGACGAAACCCGAAGGTTTGTTGTGCCCAGCCGCAGGTGGATCCAGTCCCCACCTTCGTGAATGTCCATTTTAGTATTTCCTTCCATTTCAAGTCGGCGCCTTCCTTCAGGATCTTGGAAGGAATTTTGTATGTAGTACCTCCCCGTGTGTTCAGAATGCCTCTCATGTCTCATCGCCTTTTGTTTCATCTTACTAAGAGTATGGAGTATGAAGGCCGATCGCAGTGGCCTCGCTGTCTAATACATGAACCGTCTTCGCCCGCTCGAACACTGAGAATATGGGTTCGAATCTCACTGAAGACATGGATGTCTTTGTACTTTTATTCTGTTTCTGTTCTGTGTGTAAGTAGTGGCCTCGAGACTGCCGAGGAGTCCTACCGACTGTGTATAAACAAAACTACAAGCAAACTCTGTGGCCTGTAGTCCGCAAGCGAACTATACCGACCGAACCACCACCGCTTGTCGGCGAAGTTAGTGCCATTAAGAAACTTGAGGCAAAGGTTCAAAGGTCTGAAGAGCCGTAGAGAGAAAAAAGAAAGGACTATTAAGGTCTTCGTTATGCATGTTCTAGACTGTTGTTATTTAATATGTAGTTCTATCTATATATTCTGTCCTCAGCATTTTGTTCACAATCACCATAAATCTTACGTCCTTCCGCAGTGTCAGAGAACACGTTTCCCATTCATACAAAGCAACAGGTGGAATTGTTATGTCAGTCGAGACATTTATAGGTACGAGACAGGTAGATGGGATCCGAACTGAATGGGCGGAAGCATTCGCCGAATTTAATCTCTTAATTTCTTGGTGGATGTTCCGCTGATATGTTACTGTCGTCACCAGATTCAAGGACTTATTACTTTTAATTCTGTGCTTACATTCTAGTGAGGAGGCGTGAGCACGTGTAGTGGTTTCGTCTTTCTCCTGCATTTACTACTAGACTAGTCTCCTTAGGCATCTGATCTAGTGTCTTTCGTGTATCGTATCTATTTGTTAAATTTTTTAAATTATAGACATAGACAGGGAGACCAGCATGACGCATTCATTTACGTCTCTTCTGATTATATTCTAATATATATTGAGTATTCTAAAGCAGACTCGAAAAACAGTAGCATTCTTCATAGTGAGCGCTGTGAAAATCTCAAATCCTAAATAGCATTCTTGTTTCAGACAATTATTTATTCAACGTCAACAGATAAATGCTTATCAGTGCGGACTTTACTATAGGCTCCATTTAAAACAGTTAGCCTAAGTATTTCGTGTTTTTACCATATAATTGAGATGGTTTTGAAATAATCCTCTCCTTAGTCATGGGCCTTCTTCAAGTCTGTATATAGTTGTGTATTGTCCATTGTACCGTGTTCTTGTATTCCATTACGCGACGGAGGAAGAATGTCTTGACAGTATTTAATTTATAACGTCGCAGTCGTTACCGGTGAAGCCAAATTATTTCGTTTAAATATGGAGTCAACTTGTAGAGAAGAATGTTGGACAACATTTTTGTCGGAGTTGAGGTCCCCACAGCGGTTTTTGAAGAGTACGATCTTGTACGTTGTAGTTCGGTAGCAGTAGTGAAGAGTGCGATCCTGTGGGTTGTAGTTCGGTAGCAATATTGAGTACGATCCTGTGGGTTGTAGTTCGGTAGGAATATTGAAGAGTACGATCCTGTGGGTTGTAGTTCGGTAGCAGTTCCCTAATATTTAGGAGGAATGTATTGCAGACAACTGGTTTGTGAGCTTACTCTCCTGCCGTGAAGAAGAAAGTGACTTCGTTCCCCGAAAAGTCAGTGCACTTCTACCTAACTACTCAGCATTAAAACCCAGAAGGGCCTCAACATTTTTGTTGCTGATAACAGCAATATTATTGGATAATTAATAGTCGGTTTCACTTTTTTCTTTAAAAATACATACATTAGTAGGTCCCATTCCAGTGCTGCAAAAATTTTTCTCTTTTACTGGTAGAATTAATGGATTTGCGGATCTTGTGACATAATGTTACAGCGCCGGTTTGGAACATTTCCGCTGTAATTTGATATCTGCATATATCTTTGGAATTTGCCAGTAGTTTCTGTCTCATGTGTATATGGCTGTTAAATTTTATTTCTGCTACTGACGAAGCCATTTCGTTTGCCGCGCATTGGTTACCTTTTATCTGCTTTCCCGTCTCAAATTTACTTTACCTCTGCCCGAGATGAAAAGTTCCGTCTAATGTAGGTGAATTCGTTCCTCTTGTTCGATTCCAAGTAAGGTATCATGAGTTGAGTTTTTGTGCTTCGCCACGCCCTACTTGTCTCCTTGGTTAACTGAAGAGAAAAGTCTGAAGAACACTGCTTTTCTATGGAATGTGTAAGACTTTACATTATGTATCGTTTCGAGCGTTTGACCTTGAAATTTAAATTTGTACCTCTGTATGAAATAAATATAACATGAAACTAAACTTGGAATTTCTCGAAATATTGCACTGAAGCCTTATGTTGTGTGTAACTTCTCTTTGTGGTGGCTGAACATAAAAATAATTGGAATTTCTCTGTCCACATTTTTTCTTCCCTGCCGCCCCCCAACAAAAATACAGAAAATTAATTAGTATGTAAAGCTGAAGACCCCATCTGGCCCACGTAAACTTTCAAGAAATAGTGTTTTAAACTTGTGAAAATTTTATCAGTTTTGTTCTGTACTGATGGCCGGCACAGAAATTGGTAATCCTAAACTGAGAATCTCGTAACGAGAGTTCAGATTTGACATTAACTTAGTATGAAAAGGAACAGAGGGGCACGCGGTAGTGTAGTTGGTTGAGGCACACTGCTACAAGCCGGAAGATCGAATCCCGATGAGATCGATATTTTAAATTTACCTAATCCTTCCAGCCGCACTATGGCCTGAAGGTCGACTCAGCCTCTAACAGAAATGAGTACCAGAAATATTCTTGGGGGTAAAGGGCGGCCGGCACGTAAGGCTGACAACCTTACCGCCATCTATGAGCCGATTGTCTAGAAAATGTGGGAGCCTCAACATCTCACAACCCTATGGTTTTTTTTTACTAGTGTGGTGGGATTAAGTCTCATGTACTGCGGC